GACAATACTAGAGTATGTTGGGTTTACCTTCTAAAAGAAAAAACAGAAACACCAAAAGTATTCCAGAATTTCCACTCCATGATCCGAACCCAATTTGACTCAAACATACACACGCTCCGCACTGATAATGGAAGTGAGTATTTCAATTCTGTTTTAAGCCACTATCTCTCTGAACAAGGCATCATTCATCAAAGCATTTGTCCTGACACACCTCAACAAAAAAAATCTCAGAAAGAAAAAATAGACATCTACTAGCTATTGTTCGAGCCTTAATGTTTACCATGAAAGTTCCAAAATACCTATGGGGGAGGATGTCCTTACTGCATGTTATTTATTAAATCGTATGCCCTCTAGAGTTCTTAATCTCCAAACTCCTTTACATGTCCTACAAAAAAGCTTCCCCCTATTTCCTGTTCCTATCATACCAGCCAAGATATTTGGTTGTAAAGCCTTTGTACATAATCACCAACCGAATCAATTCAAACTTGATCCCCAAGCACACCTATGCGTCTTTGTTGGCTACTCATCCACACAAAAAGGATACAAATGTTACTCACCCACCTTGCGTCGTATATTTGTCTATCATGATGTCACATTTTTTGAAAACGACCCTTATTTTTCTGTCACTCATCTTCAGGGGAGGCTCTTAGTGAAGATGAGACTCTTCATACTCTTCTTATTATACCCCCTGAGTCTATCCTTAACACTACTGTCACACAAAATTCTAAGGGTGACCCTGTCCTCATAACACAAGATTTGAGTGTTCCACTGGAGAGAAATGAATTTTCCAGCGATGAAATTCCCATTGGAAGTAAGCTTCAGTAACCTAATCCCTCTGATAAACCCCAATTACAGCTTCTAGAAATCATTATTTATTCTCGAAAACATTTTCCTCCTAAAAGCGACACAACAACAATGCCAAATTCATCCAACTCCGAGGACTGTCCTGTTTGAGATCAGTCTCCTGGTTCGTCGAATATGGATCTTCCCATCGTTGTTCGTAAAGGCACAAGAGCTTGTACTCAGCATCCAATCTCTCGGTTTGTATCCTATGGAAATTTATCTAAAGCTTACAAAACTTTTGTAACTAATATTGATAGTGTAGAGACTCCAAGAAATGTGAAAGAGGCTTTGGAATCAACCGAATGGAGACATGTTGTTTTTGAAGAAATAAATGCTCTAAAAAATAATGGAACATGGGAAGTTACAGATCTGCCATAAGGGAAGAAAATTGTGGGTTGTAAATGGATTTTCACCACAAAAATCAAGCCTTATGGGAGTATTGATTGGAATAATGCCCGACTTGTGGCAAGAGGCTTTACTCAAACCTATGGTCTCGACTATGATGAGACGTTTGCCCCCGTTGCAAAGCTAAATACTGTTTGAGTGCTACTTTCCTTAGCTGTAAACCTTGATTGGCCCTTAACACAACTTGATGTAAAAAATACATTCCTCAATGGAGACTTGAGCGAGGAGGTATATATGGATTTTCCACCAGACTTTGAAGAAGAAAAAAGACGAGTATGCAGATTAAAGAAGTCACTATACAGACTAAAACAGTCCCCAAGAGCTTGGTTCAACAGGTTTTCCAAGGCTATAACCAGTAGGAATTACACCCAAGGGCAAGCAGATCATACACTATTTTACAAACACTCGGGAAGTGAGAAATACTCTATTCTTATCGTCTATGTTGATGATATTATTCTAACAAGGGATGATTCGAGTGAGTTGTTGAAACTAAAAGACTTCCTTAATACAGAATTTGAGCTTAAAGATTTGGGGAATCTCAAATACTTCCTTGGCATGGAAGTAGCACGGACGCGGACAAGCATTTCTATTTCCCAACGAAAATATGTTCTTGATTTATTGGCTGAAACTGGCATGCTAGGTTGTAAACCTGCCGAGACCCCAATGGAGTTCAATTCTAAGCTAGGCAATGATGATGATGGGAAGAAGTAGACAGGGGGAGATACCAACGAATCGTCGAAAAACTAATTTATCTATCTCACACTTGACCTGATATTGTATTCGGTGTGAGTGTCATCAGTCAGTATATGTATGCTCTAAAGGAGAAACATTTGGAGACAGTTTACAGGATGCTAAGGTATTTGAAGGGAACATCGGGTAAACGTCTTTATTTCAAGAAAAACACCAATCGTGACATAGAACTTTACACTGATGTTGATTGGGTAGGATCAGTGAGTGACAAACGATCTAGAAGTGGTTATTGTAGCTATGTGTGTGGCAATCTTGTGACATGGAAAAGTAAAAAATAGTATGTTGTGGCTCGTAGCAGTGCAAAGGCAGAATATCGAGCTTTATCTCATGGTATATGTGAGGGAATTTGGTTACAAAGATTAATAAAGGAACTTAAAGTATCCTATGTTAAACCTATGAAGGTATATTGTGATAATCAAGTTACTGTCAGTATAGCACATAACCCAGTTCATCACGATCGTACTAAACACGTGGAGATAGATCGTCATTTCATTAAAGAGAAGGTAAATTCAGGAGAAGTTTGTATCACCTATCTTCATACTAAGCAACAAGTTGCAGACTTGCTAACTAAAAGTCTGAGTAAGAACGTGTTTGAAGATTTTATTGGCAAGTTGGATTGATAAATATCTACAAACCAGCTTGAGGGGGAGTGTTAGAAATCCTAGAATTAAGGGACTGAATCTTCTTCCTTATTTTTAGGAGTTAACCTAGTGTAAATATGTCTCTAATTGTAGTTCCTAATTTTTAGGGATACTTTCCTATTTTGACATTAATTCTTACTTTAAAGATGTAATATGCTGTTAGAGAGATATCAGAATCATTTTTTCTCAAAACAGTTCAAATGTAATAAATTGGAAAATGATAATACATACAAATATGATATTTATTAATTTAAAAATGTTGAACGAAAGTGAGGTAAGAACAAAACTGTCCTTTTATTATTTAACAATTTGGCATTGCCATTATGCGATTTTCCCCAAATATATCTTTTCATTATATATTTACATGTCAAACACTCTTTCAGATATATTTCTCGATTTAACACACTTTGCAGAAAGGCACAGTCCATGTACCGCGATCTGGTGCCACGTGGGGTAAGGAGCGGCTCATGCACTGCGCCTTCCGCCACGTGTAAAGATATGTGTTAGTTTCGTAAATATTTTTATAATAGTGCCTAATACATAATTAATTTCTGTTAGGGTGATTGTTGTGTAAAAAATCAACTTTTTTATTTATTTTTTGTGTGTGAAAAAAAGCATTAAAATCTTTAAATATTCTTTTACAAATTATTTTATAACTCGATAAATTTTGATTTTTGTATAAAAAATTTATTGACTTTTAAAATTAATTGTTTAAAAATATAAAAATAAACTTTTAATTACAATTGAGAGATCATATGAATTATTAGTCATTAATTATTATTTTTTAACAACAGTTAATAATGTTTATTCATTTTTAATAAAATTAGAATTTAATATGTATTTTATATTTTTTTAAATAATATTAGAAAGAATATTTTAAATATATAGGTGATATTTTTAGTTTTACCTTTTTTATTGAATTTATTCATTTTTAATTCTTTTTTTATTGTATTTTTTGAATTTTAAATATACGAGTTATAATTCAGATTAATCATTTATTCTGCTATTATTCAAATTAATTAAGAAAAATTATGGTAAAATGTTTCTAAAAAATATATAAAATATATACACAAAAATCTAAAGATTTTCCTTTTTTTGTGTTCTCTAAACTTGTAACAAAATTCAATAAAAAAAGAATGCAAAACTAAAAAAATATCACTTATATATTTAAAATATTTTTTCTAATATTAATTTTAGAAAATATAAAATGAATATTAAATTCTAATTTTATTAAAAATGAATAAAAATTATTAAATGTTGTTAAAAAATAATAATTAATGACTAATAATTCATTTTGGTCACTCAATTGTAATTAAAAGTTTATTTTAATATTTTTTTATATTTTTAAACAATTAATTTTAAAAGTTAATAAATTTTTCAAAAATATATGAAATTTATAATTTTTTAAATTATAAAATATTTCTTATCATCATCATCGTCATTTTGTAAAAGAAATACTAGTTATAAAACTTTTATAAAATTATTCATATTTTAAATTATTTACCCTCAAAGTTTTCCTATACTAGATTATACGTATTATGTAATTTTATGCAAAAATCAAAATTTTTCGAGTTATAAAATAATTTACAAAAAATATTAAAAGATTTTAATACAGAAAGTTTTTTTTTTTTTTGCACACACAAAAAATAAATAAAAAATGTTAACGTTTTTACACAAAAATTACCTTAACAGAAATTAATTACATATTAAGTATTATTTTTAAAAAATTTATGAAATTAACACCCGATCTTTACACGTGGTCTAAGGAGCGGAGTATAAGCCGCGTCTTTTACCACGTGACATAAGCGCTATGCATGAGTCGTGTCTTTCTGCAATGAGCGTTTGATCGAGAAATATATTTAAAATGATATCTGATAAGTAAATATATAACAAAAGGTGATTTTTTAGAAAAATAACCTTGCCCTTAATTACCTACAAAAAAACCTCGTAATTATCACTGTAACAGACAATAATATCCTCGGGAATCAAATTGATAATGAAGATAGAAGTCTGCAAAGAAATCAAATTTGAAAATATCAAAGAGAAGTGTCAGTCACACCAAAGCTCCCGCCCTTCGTATTCATGGTTCGTCTCTGTATTTTAATTAATATTTAATTTCGACAAATTTATCTGCGTTGATAATCACAAGACAAATTTAGTTGCACACTTTGATTTTAGCAAATTGAATCTGATTCAGAACCCCACACCTATATTTGGGGGACGGCCTTGTTTTTCTGACTTTTCCTTGGATTGTTTCCTCATAGATTGTTGGAAAGAATAATGGGGAATCTCCCTTTCTTTTTAATACAATTCTAACTCTCATATCCCATATCCACTCCTTTTTCTTTTTCCTCTTTCTCAAATCATCGCATGGTTCCTGATGAGTTTAATTCAACCCCTCTTTCTTGTTATCTGCTTCCTTTAAATGTCTGGAAAATTCGCCTTCCTATTGTTTGTTTCCCTTTGTTTAATGAAGGTCTCTGGAAAAATGTATGGCCATTGTTGATTTGAATGAACCAGTTTCTGGTTAAATAATGTTTTAAATTATTCTGGAATCTTTTTGTTCGTGTGTTTATGGTATTTAGTTGGATTAAATAGATACATTAAACAGATGTCTTGTGGCTTTGAACGAACCCCTCTACATACACGGAAAGTGTCAGAGGTAGGAAAGGCTAATAGGTCCAGGAATTCTTTGCAGCTCGATGGTTATAGAAGATCTTCTCAGGTTACATTTACTTTCTTTAATTTCCTTACTAAATACTTCAATTCATACTCTCCTACTTTGTTATTAAATAGCTTAAGTATTTTTTCCCTATTAAATTCAGGATTCCAGAATTTCTTCTTTCAATTTGAGAAACATTGATCAGAGGTAATCCAATGTACTTGCATGTTCTGCGTCTTCAAATTTAAAGTGATTCACCGGAATTTGCTTTAGGTTGCTTTTAAAACTTGAATTTGATTTCGCGTCAAACTGGGTAATGAATTTGAAATTTAACTAGTGTTTGGATTATGTTTAACCGCTTCTCCTGAATTCATATTCCCAAACGTAGAAAATGTTCTGTGTGCTTTAGACGATAATTATCATTCTCTTTGGGGAAGTGATTGTCAAAATGATTTATATTGCATCTTTCTTTTATATTTTGATACTATAGAAATTTTTTACATCTCCTTCCCCTTGTCAAAATAAATAAATAAATAAATAAAACTAGGGAAATTTTTAAATAGATTTTTCTCACCACATAAGCTATAAGCCAAACCAGTCAAATTAATATAGGTCAGGTTTTTTTCCCTACTTGCATGTAAATATGTATCTCCATGTTTTCTTCTTTAAAAAAAAGGGAAAAAAGAGGGGGGAAAAGAATATTCATGTCATTTGTGTCCTTGAATCTAGGAATATCATCACAGCATTTGTATATACACACACATAAACACACAAAAAATCCAACTTTAGATACTCTATTAATGAGAATTTTAAAGTAATTTGCATTATAAATCACATAAAATGTCATTAATTTATGCAGATTTTATTAAATAATTTTAATGCAAAAATCATTTTAACATGCATATCTGACTTATTTTCTGAACAAAAAATCCATTTTGGGGTTTCGGTATTAAGCCATGTATGCATTTTGAGTTAAATTTTCCTCGCAAACTAGACAAAATGTTAATAAAGGCTTATTTGGTTGCTATTCACATTGATAATCTTGTGTTCTTCCATAACTCAGATGTGACACTAATTTGTAATGTCATAAATGCATATAAACCTTGTGTGACTGGGTTTATCGCTTTTTAGGTGTACCATATTGACTTTCCCAACACTCGAGTGTGATGGGCAGTGGAGAATTATTGCACTACCCTTGCAATTTTTTGATTACACTGAACGTTTCGGAAATGGAACTCGGGTCAATATGAATAGCCTGCATCTGGTCCCCTCTCCCTCCGTTAAATCATTTAAGGTTGATGGACGGGAGACACAGAAAGGGCCTCAACATGATCAGATTACTTATTCTGCCAAGCCTTTTAGAACCAGAAGCTTGTCGGGCTCCAATGTGCAACAACAATTCCGCAACCGCACCATTGTACATAAGATGACTAAATCGAGTGAAATGTCCTACTGTTCTTCTCGTCATAGTTCTATCACTTGCTATGATTCTTCTTCTGTCATGTCAAAAGGATCCAATGCTACTATGTTTATTGATTGTTCCGAGGTAGACAAGTCTACAAAGAGGAATGCACAGAAGAAGGCAAGAAGGAAGGGGAAGCATAAAAAGAAACATTTGTGCGACTTTGGCACTTCAGAATATGAGGTTTGCGTGGAGTATGCCTGTGGAAGTTCAGGATCAGAATGTTGTGGTAACTAACTATGACATTAATTCGCTACAAGTTTCACCATTTGATGTTTTGCCTAATATAACTGATCATCTTGCAGAGAGCAGTAGTGGTGTTGTTACAAGTTCCCAAACACAAAATACATGCACATGTGACATTGATGAAGTGGATACATCAGAACCTATTTTACCTTCTCATGCTCAGAAGTACGGGGAGCATACATATAGCTCTGAAATCAGTAGCGAGGACCTGCAACTTTCTAGGTGTCAAGGGGATATAGAGAGGAGGCATCCTTCACGTACAGGCTCTCTTGTAGGTATACATCAGAAGGATTTCTCAGACAAGCATGATTCTCTAGCGTTGGATCCCTCTTCTAAGAATCTTGGAAACAGGAACCATATTCAAAAGTGAGGAATGTGAATTCTAGTATAAATGGAAAAGAAAACAATCCAAATGGGGCTAATTTTTACAGCAGGTGCAACTTATTTAAACAAGATAGCAAAGGCATTAAATGATGGCTACAGGGCACAAATGGCATCTGAAGCTGTTCAGGTGGTCACGGGTGACCCCATTGCGGAGTTCGAAAGGCTTCTTCACTTTTGTTCTCCAGTCATTTGTCATTCAGACAGTTCAGTAGGCTGTGAAAATTGCTTTCTGGATCAGGTTCCCAGTGCTCTATTGTGCAGACATGAGACACCAAATATGCCATTGGGATGTCTGTGGCAGTGGTATGAGAAACATGGCAGCTACGGATTAGAAATAAGGGCAGAAGATTATGGAAATAGAAAGAGAATGGGTATTGATGAGGTTGAATTCCGTGCCTACTTTGTGCCATTCTTGTCAGCAATTCAACTCTTTAAGAACAGTAAAACTCATTCCACCCCTGGAGTTTCAGAGGCTTGTGATACTGATCCTATTTCAACAAACTCTACTAATGTCAGTCAACTTCCAATATTATCAGCTCTTGTCCCACAATCACAGTCTACAGAACCGAGTAGTCAGTCTCAAGTAAATGATATTAGATCTGCAGTTTCTCCTAAAGATGTCAAATCTGTTGACATGGAACTAGTTTTTGAATACTTTGAATCTGAGAAGCCTCATCAAAGACGAGCCTTATATGAAAAGTAAGTACTACTTTTATGTCTACTCATAAAATTTGATGAGTAAACAACAATTTCATTTCAAAATCCTTCACCTTGGATCTATTTGTTTCAGGATACAAGAACTGGTTAGAGATGATGTATCTCCCAAGTGCAAAATGTATGGTGATCCACTTCATCTCAACTCCATAAATATGCATGATCTGCATCCTCGATCTTGGTTAGTGACAATATGCTTCACGAAACAAAAAAGTTTAAAAAATGTTCCTGTTTTATATGAGATCTCTGTATTACTCGTTTAATGTATGGTTGCTTCTATATTTCAGGTATTCTGTTGCGTGGTATCCTATATATAAAATTCCAGATGGAAATGTCCGTGCAGCATTTTTGACTTACCATTCACTTGGCCACTTTGTTCGTAGAAGTTCCAAGTTGGATGCATGTGTAGTCTCTCCTGTTGTGGGTCTTAAGAGTTACAATGCTCAGGTACCAAAACTAATAAAACTATGCATCTGATGTCTCTTGGACCAAAATCATGTACTAGTTTTGCCTTAATTGCTTATTTATAATGTCTTGTCCAGATATCAAATCTTTTAAACAATCGTGAAAATATAGATGTAATGTGCAAGTATCTCTTCCATTAGTTATCAAATCTTGTTTTGCCGCCAATGATTGTTGTAGTGCATGTATTTTAAAAGATGGTGTGAATTGTTTGGTGGTAAATGCACATATCATGAACAGGGGGAATGCTGGTTTCGGCCGAGACACTCGTCGATGAGTATTACCCATGAAAACCAGGGTGAAGGGAGCCCTTCTAGAATACTGAAGGAGAGATTAAGGATTCTGGAGGAGACTGCGTCGCTTATGGCAAGGGCTGTTGTCAACAAGGGAAATCGGACATCGGTAAACAGACACCCCGATTACGAGTTCTTTGTCTCTAGGCATCGATAGTCACTCATGTGCAACTACTCACCAAGTAACCTGTTTCAGCTTGACAAATAGTTTAGCTTATATTCAGGTAGAAGCTAACCTTGATAGGGACTTCATTTCATACTGTTGTACAGTTGTTTGTACGACTGAGTTCTGTTATGTTTGTTTTCAAGGAACATCTACATTATTTATTTATTTATTTTCTGTTTTTGGAGTAAATTTAGTATCATGTTTTTAATTTTGCAAATTTTGGTCTTAAAATGTTTGGAAGGACATCATTTCTTGTCGATTTCATAAGTAAACTAATGGTGCCGAATTTCCCATCAATTTTAACAATATTGCAATTAATTTTTAAAACTCGTCATTTCAACGTAACAAAATATTTTTCTGAAAATTAAAGATATCTTCAACCGTCGATGACTATTAAAATCATTTTTAACTACTCTATCAATTACTATATCTTTCGCTCTATTTTTCTAACTAATTCCCCACCATCCCCATCTCTTTTCTTCTCTACATCAATATGACCTATTCTACTTAAAAAAGTTATAATCCTTCAATTAATTTACAACATTTATCTTTTGAAGCTTCATTAATTACTTATTTTTTTCAATCTCATGCTAGTTTTCATTGTGCGAGGATATTATTAGATATTGTGTTAGATAAGCATCTATGTCAGTCTTTGATTTCATGTAAATATAAATTAATATTTAATATGTTATTAATAAAAAATAATAATATCACAAACATTATATATGCCAATGAGTGGTAGCCAATATAAAATCTCAATTGAAAACGTTTCTTTTACTTTAAAATGCAGAACTTCATTAGTCAATTATAAAATAATTATGAAAAACAATAATGTCAGATCAAATGTAACAACCTTTTTTATTTGTAGTAATTAAGCACGTGCGATAATAAATAAAATATACGCATGCTTTTTTTAAAAAAAAATACAGAAATACTATAGATGCCTTCGACAACACGCAAGTGAATGTACTATAATATAAACCCTCAAGGTTTTCTCTTCTTATATGTCTTAATTCACTATAATATATTTTTAATTATTTATTTAATATTAACTAAAAATATATAATAAGAAGAGAAAATAACTTCAGTGACAAAAAATGCCTTATAATATATGATTTTAACCAATTTTTTTTGGATTTGCCAAAATGACCAACTAAATCGCAATACGATCGATAATTCGCAACGCGATCTCCGGTATCGCAAATCAGTTTCCAGGTTCGCAACGCGATTCTGACTATCGCATTTCGCGTTGCGATTTTTCGGCTATCGCAATGCGAATATGTAAATCGCAATGCGATTATGACTATCGCAATGCGATTCTGACTGTTGCAACGCGATTCTGACTATCGCAACACTGAATTTCAAATTCGCAACAGGTTTTAGTTTCGCAACACAAATGTTTTGGGTATATAACTACGCAGCAGAAGCAACTCATAACCTAAATCCCTAAATCGCAACTCATTTCATCTCCATCTATCACTCTCTCCGGCAACATCCGTTCCTATATCCAACGACATCCTTCCCCATCCGGCAATAGGTTTTAGTTTCGCAGCTCGTTTGTTTAGTAAATTAATTTACAATAATGAAATCATCTAATGTTGATCATGTTTGGATAGATTTGTGTTTTGGAGGGTCATGGGAGAATGTTTATGGTGTTTTACAATATATGCCTTTACCCATGAATCTTCAACTAAAATTGTCATTAAAAAAGTTAAATTATGAAACTCTAATGTTACGTGTTGCAAATAAATTGAATTTAGAGCCCTTAAGTGGATTTAGGCTATCTTATCAGAGAAAAGGTAAAGTTTATTTGTTAACCGACAATGAAGATGTTGAACGATTCATTGCTTACATTAGTGTTTCGCAAGATGATGTTACATTGTATGTTGTTGAACCTAGAAGTAGTGAAGTTGGGTCAGTAGCGGGTAGTAATCAACTAAGTTTTTCAACCCCAATTTATGGTGCTCAAAATTTAATGGTTCCACCACAATTTCATCACCAAGCAAATTTTGTTTCACCACATTTCCAATACCAAACACAATCTCAAAACCCACAACCTTTCCCTAATCCAAATCCCAATAAACTTTCAGCACCAAATTCCGATTTTCGTATTAACCAATTAGACGATGATGAGCCAACAGAAAAAATTGTGAGTACTAGTCGGTATTCGAAATTTGATCTTGGTCAATACCCGAACTTTGATCTTGGTCAATACTTGGATTTTGATGATGTTTCAGAAGAAGAAATAGACCCTGCGTGTAATGATTTTGATATTGATCAATACCCGAATTTTGATGATGAAACAGCCGCTGCCGAGGAAGATGTTGTTGATGATAATGAGGAGGAAGTTACGACTGTGAATGAACATGTTGAACATCCATTCTGTAATTCATATAACCCTGAAGAAGAAAAATAAGAAGAAGAAATCCCCGAAGAAAAGTCCCCGAAGAAAATGCCACGGGAGTATAACTGGAATATGCCAGAATTACTTCAGATACCAGAAGAAGAGTTGGTAAAAATAGCAGTTGATTGTTACACAAAAATTATTCGTATCAAGAAAGATGATTGTTTTGATACAAAGGAAGACTTGAAGATAGTTTTGTATACGAAATGTGTGGAAGATGACTATCAACTAAAAGTTAACAAATCAAGCAAAGATCGTTTCGAAACAAGGTGTATGATTGACAAAAACTGTACGTGGCGTATGATTACAAAGAGGATAAAAGATTGCGAAATGTTTCAAGTTAGGACTTTTATTGATAAACATACATATTCAAGAACTCAAGTTTTTCCTCACCATAGACAGGAAAACAAAAAGGTGTTGGGTGGTTTTCTGGCTGAGTTAATGTTTTTTAATGGCATGGCCGGGGACATGAAATTATGACTGACATGAATGCTCGGTTCAAGATTAGTATCTCATATTCTCAAGCTTGAAGAGCCAAATGTTATGCCTTGGAATTGTTGAGGGGGTCGTCAGAAGCATCGTTTGCCCAACTGTCTGATTATTGTCACAATTTAAAGCTGAAAAATCCTGGGTCGGTAACTCATATCAAAACAGATAGAGATGGACGCTTTGAGTTGCTGTTTATCACCATTGGTGTTGCGGTTAGTAAATCAATATAATTTTGTTGACTCATTTTTGTTAGTTACATGCATTTCACATTTAAATGATTATATTTCTTGTGTATATGATTTTGTAGATTCGTTCGTTTATTACTTGCATGCGCCCAGTTATTATAGTTGATGGAGCACATTTAAAAGGTCGATACTTTGGAGTAAACTTATTAGCAGTAGCCGTGGATGCTAACAATGGGATACTGCCAATAGCTTACGGGGTTGGCAAATCTGAAACCTCTGATTCATGGACATGGTTTATGGGGCATCTTAGGGATTGCATAGGTCCTATTAGCAATCTGACAATCATATCCGATAGGGCAAACTCAATTGAAAACGCTCTTAGAAGGTGCTTCCCAGATGCTTTTCATGGACTTTGTGGTGTTCATTTATATAGAAATCTAAAATCAAGGTCTGCTGGTATAAAAAATCACAAATAGACATACTGGAAGGCTGTAAAAGCTTATCGGGAAGTGGATTTTAATAAGCATATAAATTGTTTAAGACGTGTTTTGCCTCAGTGTGCTCAAACACTAGAAGATGTCGGGTTTGAAAGATGATCAAGAGTACATCAACTTGGAGCAAGATATGGTTTCATGACGTCTAATAGTGCAGAATCAATCAACGCTCTAAGTCGTCATTCCCTGAAATTACCCATTACTATGTTAATGGAGTTTTTTCGAGCCTCTATTCAATAGTGGTACTACAAGAAAAGAAACCATGCATGTATTATTTCTTTAAATTCGTAACTTATCATATATTTTACTAAGTATTATTTATTTAAATTTACAGGAACATTGGAACATCGTGTTACACCGTGGACTGAAAAAAAGATAATGAAACGTGTTGTGAAGTCAACTTCATGGAGAGTTGAACCATGTTCAAACACTTTGTTTGAAGTACTGGATAATAACTTAAATGGGCTTGTTGATCTAAATGCAAAGACGTGTAGTTGTATGAAATGGCAAACATCTGGTTATCCGTGTGGGCATGTTATAAAAGTTGCTCTTTATCTAAACCAAGATGATTCAATCGCATACGCTATGGATTGCTACACTACAGAAGTATATCGACAGACTTATGCCGAGATTATCTACCCTATTCCACATCCTTCTGAGTGGGACATACCAGATGACTTACAAACAGTTTTGCCACCAGCCATGGATAGAAGGCTACCTGGTCGACCAAAAAGTCACGATCGTATACCGTCTAAGGGTGAAGAGAAGAAGAGATCGACATATAGTCGGTGCAAGGAAAGTGGTCATACAAGGTTGACATGTGGATCACCAGTGCCATCACAATCATCTTTTCCTCTACCAAAATATGGATTATCATCAAAATCCAAAGCTCATATAGTGTCAAGAAAAAGGCAATCAAAATCGCAATCGCAATCAAAATCCCAATCACAACCGGCTTCACCTTTTGGGACTATTAACTTAAGTGATTTTTAAATGCAAACATTGTATTATGTGTAAACTTTTAACATTTTCAGTTAGACATGTATTAGTAACTTGAGTTTGAACATTGCTATGATCTGTTCAGTTGTTATCACTTATTACACATTCATTTGAATATCGCAACGCGAATTTGACTATTATGTGTATTTTATGTGTAAACTTTTAACATTTTCAGTTAGGAATGTATTAGTAACTCGAGTTTGAACATTGCTATGATATATTCAGTTGTTATCACTTATTACAAATTCATTTGAATATCGCAACGCGAATTTGACTATCGCAACGCGAATTTGATTATCGCAACTCAAAAATCGCAACGCGAATTTGACTATCGCAACATGAATATGACTATCGCAACGCGAATTTGTCTATCGTAATGCGAATTTGACTATCGCAACGCGAATTTGATTATCGCAACGGCTATTTGACTATCGCAATGAGAAAATCGCAACGCGAATTTGACTATCGCAACGCGAATTTTATTATCGCAACGGGTATTTGACTATCGCAATGA